TGTATGGTATCTAGAACTACAACGCCCACAAACACCCACAGTTCCTATATGCCATCCTCCTCAACCAATGAGAGCAATATACCCTGAGATGTCTGGGCAAAATGACCCCCACGCCCCGCCAAAGACTGCAGATTCTATATGTATCACATCGGTCCATATTGGGGGGAAAAGAGTTGAAAATCCTCTGGCTATGTAGTGCTTATAATAACTTTCCAAATTACTGGCCATACTTAATATTAATCATTAACACCCTCAGTGGAGTCTGTCTCAGAAGTCAAAATGTACTTCCTATTAGCTATAAGGAAGTGCGAATCTAATAAATATTTATTTGAGATGCTGTCATCCAACAACCTGGAATAGCAGGGGCTCTAAATTCTAAATGACTTGTATATGAACAAGAGTCAACAGGATCTGTATCTAGTCCTCAGGTATAATTCAGAAAAATTAATAGCTATGAAATACCAGCCTGGTTTCCTCTGGTCACATTACAAGTTATAATAATCTACCAGAGCATAAAACTCAGTGCAGCAGAGGAGCTAGGAAATTCTCCTGCCCTGAAAAAAATATGTGGAAATCTTCACAAGAATTTTTCTAAGTTGGATGACTGAACTCCATAATAACAGAATTGTCGAATCATTATATTGTACCCCTGAAACTAATATAACACTGTATGTTAATTATACTTAAATTAAAAATAAGAATAGCCTTATTATATCATATTTTAGTTTAAATTTGAAATCTCAAAAAACCTACAAATACTAGCCAAAAACTACTGGAATAACAGTTATTTTTCCAAAAAGTTAAAAAATGATATTAATGATTTTAATGAGACTTTAACTGTTTCATTTAAACATAACTGGGTCCATCCAGAAGGAATAATTAGGCTAAAGAAGAAAAGAAAAATTATCATGTTTAATAACTGCACTGATATTCCTAGCTCTTAGAAAGCTAACTCTTGATTTAAATAATGCTTCTACACACCTTGATCATATGTGTTAATGTATTAAACTCTTAGCTGAAACTAATTCATTGCAAAACTTGTGTAATTTAAACAGTACAATTTTCCAATGACTTTAATCAAAAGACCTCCTTCTCCACAATGAATCATGGAACACTACATCAAAAACTAATGAAGTACTGTATGGTGACTAACATAACATAATAATAAAAAAAAGACCTTCTCCCCCATTAAGCAACAACAAAAGACATTAATTTTGTGGAAACACATATATAAAAGAACACAGTTCATGTGTTTATTATAAAAGGTCCATTGAAGATTTTAGCTGTGACAACTATTTACAAAGTAATTTAAAGCTTTGTAACAAATAGCAAGGTCTGCTTATTACATGCTCAGTTACTGGTGGTGAACACTCAGTGAGTATTGGCTGATGCGAATATGAATGGATGAAAACATAAGTAAGAGCTATCCGCACATATATCATAAAGAGCATGAAGTAGGTTTAACTCTCCCAATTTTTACTTTTATAATGTAACTGAAGCAAAGTCTAACATAAAGTATATTTTAAAATACACTGTTTGGGCAATGTCCACAATAGCCAAACTGTGGAAAGAGCCAAGATGTCCATCGACAGATGAATGGATAAAGAAGATGTGGTATATATACACAATGGAATATTATGCAGCCATCAAAAGGAATGAGATCTTGCCATTTGCAATGACATGGATGGAACTGGAGGGTGTTATGCTGAGTGAAATAAGTTAATCAGAGAAAGACATGTATCATATGACCTCACTGATATGAGGAATTTCTTAATCTCAGGAAACAAACTGAGGGTTGCTGGAGTGGTGGGGGGTGGGAGGGATGGGGGGGCTGGGTGATAGACATTGGGGAGGGTATGTGCTACGATGAGCGCTGTGAATTGTGCAAGACTGTTGAATGACAGATCTGTACTTCTGAAACAAATAATGCAATATATGTTAAGAAAAAAAAAAGAAGATAGCAGGAGGGGAAGAATGAAGGGGAGTAAGTCAGAGGGGGAGACAAACCATGAGAGATGATGGACTCTGAAAAACAAACTGAGGGTTCTAGAGGGGAGGGGGGTGGGGGATGGGTTAGCCCGGTGATGGGTATTAAAGAGGGCACGTTCTGCGTGGAGCACTGGGTGTTATGCACAAACAATGAATCATGGAACACTACATCAAAAACTAATGATGTAATGTATGGTGATTAACATAACAATGAAATTTTTTTTTAAAAATACACTGTTTGGGCGCCTGGGTGGCTCAGTTGGTTGAGCGACTGCCTTCGGCTCAGGTCATGATCCTGGAGTCCCGGGATCAAGTCCCGCATCGGGCTCCCTGCTCAGCAGGGAGTCTGCTTCTCCCTCTGACCCTCTTCCCTCTTGTGCTATCTCTCATTCTCTCTCTCTCAAATGAATAAATAAAATCTTTAAAATAAATAAATAAAGTACATTGTTTATAAGAGAGAAATAATATAGTCACGTTATTTTAGAAGAAAGATGTTTGTAAAAAAAAAAAAGTAACCAAAAAAACTCAAACTCAAAAGTAAAAAGCCATTGGTTTTCAGTGGAAGAACGACAACAAACTGAGGCACTAAAAAAGTAAATTCCAAATTCTTCAGAACGAATGTGCAGAGATTTTGGATATGCCTTGTTTTAGATTTCCTCTTCTTTATTTTTTTTTTGTTTGCTTGCTTGCTTTAATCATATACAAACCTCAAAATATCAAAATGAAAATTAATTTGAGGTGTTTTCAGTAACTTCTCCAATCCTTTGAAATACGTAACCTGATTAAGGAAACGATTTAAATGTTACAGTGAATTTTCTGGCCAAGGGGTTTGAATGAGGAAGAACAAATGAATAGATTCCATTCCATAGGTTCGACAATGTTTATCAGAGCTCCACTGGTGAGGTCACACCCAGAGCTCACCATATGTCTGGATGTCTACACACCTGCAGAGGCTTCCAGCCCAATCACGGAGACTGGGTGTAATCCCAAGGCACTACACACACACCCTGCCTATACATTGCTCCGCTGATGCCATGAGCCTGTGGACCCGTAGGGAAGATCAGGCTTCTGTGAAAACTTCTGCCAGGGAAATCCACTGGGGATTCTAGAAGGGAGCAGCTATAGTTTCAGAATGGATGGAGCAAGTAATCTGTCTCATGGTGGGTGCTGAGCTGACCTTATAACAGGGGAGAGAGACTCCTCCATGCACCAGGTCAGGTGCAAAGCACTATGCTATTTTTTCCGTTTGCAGGGAAAAAGACCTAAAGCCAGGTAGTGACTGAAAAATTTAAATGAATTATTTGGCCTTAAAACATTAGAATTAGGGGGGAAAAATTCAAAATCATCTATCCACCACTCATCTAAATTCACTTAATTCACTTCCCCAAACTACATCTCCAAATGTATAAATGTTTCATTCCTGTTTTAAATACCTGAAGCTTTGTGTTTGTACAAAATATTTTAATAGTTTTATAAAATACAACCTCTAAATAGGGATAAACTTAAAAACAAAAAAAAGCATAAAACAGATTCTGAAGAGTGATTATCCATACTTAAAAACCACTGTTCTTATGCAAATCAAAACCACAATGAGATATTACCTCATTGCGTTAGAATGGTCATCATCAAAAACACAAGAGATAACAAATATTGTTGAGGATGTGGAGAAAAGGGAATCCCTGTGCACTACTGGTGGGAATGTTAAGTGGTACAGCCACTATGGAAAATAATATGGAGGTTCCTCAAAAATTAAATATAGAATTACCATATGATCCAGCAATCCCACTTCTAGGTATATATCCAAAGGAGATAAAGTCACTATCTCAAAGGTATCTGCACTCCTATGTTCATTGTGGCATTATTCACAATAGCCAAGATATAGAAACAACCTAAGGGTCCACAAAAGGACGAAAGGATAAAGATCTCACACACACACACACACACACACACACACACACACACACACTATTATTGTGTCACAAAAAAGAAGGGAACCCTGCCATTTGCAACAACATAGATAGATCCCCAGGGGCATTATGCTACATGAAATAAGCCAGAGAGAGAAAGACAAATACTACATGATACCACTTACATGAGGAATCTTAAGATAAGAAAAAAACATCAAACTCATAGAAACAGTGGTTGCCAGGGCCTGGGGGGTGTAGGAGAAATAGGGAGAGATAAAAGGATACAAACTTTCAGCTTTAAGATGAATAAGGTCTGAGGATCTAACGTAAAATATGGTGACTATAGTTGATAATGCTACACTGTACACTAAGAATTTACTAAAAGAATAGAACTTAAATGTTCTCATCAAAAAGAAAAAGATAAACTAAAAAAGAGTTTTTTAAAACATTGTTCTTGATCACCAGTGTAACTATTATGCACCCACGTCTATCTTTTTAGGTACCTAAATTATTCACAGCATTTGCCAATATTCTTTTTTTTTTTTTTTTTTGGAGAGAAACAAGAACATTAATTTAACATCAACAATGACACTGTGTAACAGCACAGGGAGGTAGTGGAGAGAAGACACTCAGGCTTCCTGTTCCCTAACCAGCCTTGACTTTAATGACAGAGCCCCAGCAACATGGAAGCACCTCACCTAGCCTCTCAGTGGAATGGGAAAGGGCAGGGGGCTGGGAACTGGAAATCAGAGGCTCACAACTCAGAGAAGGGCTGATTTGCCAATATTCTTTATCTGTATATTAGGATGAAAAAAAATCTGCCCAGGCAGGTGCAAGGGCTAAAAGAATACATCCTCCTGTTTCCTTTTGTTGCCTGTTTAAAAAAAGGAATTGCCCCTGAGAAAAGCCTCTAAGAAATGCCTCTAGTGGTAATTTCTAGAATGAAACTAAACAGACTGCTGTACAAAGGGGAAGAAGAAAAAAACAAAGCAAGGCACGGTGGACAGTGGTGTCAATCCAAAGGTGAGATGTCAGCAGAGGAGGTGTTTCTTTCCTATGAACTCTATAAAAAGATCAGCTCATCCACCACTGGGAGACAGACTGCTCCAGCCATCCAGAAGCTACAGGTGCTCCCTCCTAAAATCCTCAATGGAATTCACTCGCAGAAGCCTCCGCAGAGGCTTGAGTTCCTCCTCTCAGGGCTCTGCACTCAGCATGAGTGGTTCCATGTATAGGAAGGGGGGCACACAGCACTTCGCAGCTGCACCCAGCGTCTATGGGGGAGCTGGAGGTCAGGGCATCCGCATCTCGAACTCCAGACACATGATGAGCTATGGGAGTGATCTCACCAAAGGAGACCTGTTTGTTGGTGATGGGAAGATGACCATGCAGAACCTAAATGAACGCCTAGCAAGCTACCTAGAAAAAGTGCAGTCCCTGGAACAGTCCAACTCCAAACTTGAATTGCAGATCAAGCAGTGGTATGAAACAAACACGCCCAGCACCAGGGACTACAGTGCATATTACCAACAAATAGAAGAGCTGCAAAATCAGGTAAGGGATGACACCTGTGTTTTCTACTCCACTGTTGAGCTGCAGGATATATACCAAGAGGGCATATACGTTAGGTGGGTCCAAACGGATGTTATAAAGCAATAAGGCTGAAATGCTACATCTATAAAATGGTACATTCTACCATCTATCCTTAGTGCTAGAGTAGCTGACTACATAATTAGATGACTGTAAATATTTTTTCACTTTTAAAAATCTAATTACATGGAAAATATGAAAATATAATCTGTATTTTTGTCAGTTTACCAGGACAAGTCTAATTGGATAGTAAATATTTTTTTCTCTGAAAAGAGCTAAAATTTTTATGTGATTATAAATCTCAGGTTTTTTTCACCTGGCTCTCATTAACTTTTGAATTCCCAGTCAACTTAGAGATAATTCCTCCTTTAATTTATGTAAACATTGTAATATAAGTATTAAGAAACTATATCATAAATTTCAATGACAAAGTGAGTCAGCATGGAAATAAGGGGAAGAGATGTAAGTATTAATGGCACCCAGATTTTTTTAAAGATTTATTTATTTGAGGGGCACTTAGGTGGCTTAGTTGGTTAAGCATCTGCCTTCGCCTCAGGTCATGATCCCAGAGTCCTGGGATCGATCCCCACATCGGGCTCTCTGCTCAGCAGGGAGTCTGCTTCTTCCTCTCCCTCTGCCTGCCACTCTGCCTACTTGTGTGTGTGTGTGTGTGTGTGTGAGAGAGAGAGAGAGAGAGAGAGAGAGAGAGCAGGGGGAGGGGCAAAGGAAGAGAGAGAATATCAAGAAGACTCTCTGCTGAACTTGGATCCCTATGCAGGGCTCAATCCCAGGGCCCTGAGATCATGACCTGAGCCAAAATTAAAGAGTCAGCTGCTTAACCAACTAAGCCACTCACATGCCTGAATGACATCCAGATTTTTAAATGCCCTGTTTAATGATCTCATCATCATCATCACAAGCAGTTCACAAACCACTTCTACAGTAACAAAATGTTCTATTGCCCCCAATTCAAATTTGTTGCAGTCATATCACAACCCACTCCCACCAGAAGGTGGAGTTCTGTTTTATCAGTTATGTGCAATAAAGGAAGTGGACTTTGTTCCTAATTGAAAAGTTCAGATATGACAGGAGCACTTGTTCTGCTTTCAAATTCTTATCAAGGAAAGAATCCCTTTCATTTTCATTTCTGTTTTAACATTCATATTCATTTAGAGCAAAGGCCGCCTCCTTACCAGCAAGTCTCTTTTTCTTGCATTTTTATTAGACATCAGTGCAATTTGAACCAGATTCCACTGGAAGTTACTTTAGGGGTTTCAGGAACTATGGGGAGGTGAGGCAAAGGTGTCTAAATTGTCTTTCTGCCAAAAGGTCATTCTTCTCAGGCTCCCACTAAAATTTACATTCAAAATCAGCAAACTATTCTTCCCTACCTGTCTCATGATTCATGTTTCTGAATCTACTTTGGATCAGCCCAAACACATAGACACAGCCATCTATTCCATTTAGCAGGGCAGACTCAGTATATGAAGGCAGCTCTCTCTGGGACTGGATCTGCTGAAAGAGACATGTCATTGTAATATCTTCTACAAGCAAAGATCCATATACATCATAAAGAACTCACCCTTAGATAACCCTGTTTTTAAGATCGAGAGCTTATCCATCCTGACAGCTCCAGTGCCTAGCACAACTCTCACATAACAGTTGTCCATTCACTCAGCCAATATTTAGTACATACCCCATGCTGGGCATTGGGGAGTATGATGGTGAACATAATGTGATTTAGGGGGGAAATAGGTACAAAGGCAACATACCTCCCACACAGAGGGATAAATTCTAGCAAGGAGGGCTGTGTAGAGCACTGAAAACACAGGCAGTTCATCCAGTTCTGCCTTGAGGAAATCACTGAGGTTTCCTTGAAGCAGATATCTAAGGCAAAATGTGGAAGAGAAGTAGTTCACCAAGCGAGAAGGGCTAACAAGAATATTCTAAGCAGGTACATCAAAGGGAAGGCACTCAACAGAGTTTGATGGCTCAAGTTGAATGAAATTTTCCTTTTGTAAAACCATAAGAAAGCTCACCAAACCCTGGAGAACAGTGTTACATTTTACGACTCAATTATGTTAAATGGCTGTATCATCACTCTTTCTATTTTCATGTGGAAATTCTTGTAATGAATATCATCTTTGATAGAATAATGTTTATATCTGAGGATACACTCAATCATTTGAAACTCCTGTCCAGTTGAAAATGTCATTCTTTCTCATATATTTTCCAGATTAAAAACGCACAACTGGAAAATACACGTTGTGTCCTGCAAATTGATAATACCAGACTGGCTGCTGAGGACTTCAAGCTGAAGTAGGTTCTAACACCATGGTAAACCTTCCTGAAAAGGGATTCCCTGTAGTAGTCCTTCATGACACTCAGCTTTCCACATTCTTGTTGGTAAAGGAGCTACCTTAAGTAATTTCAGAATCTGGGAGTTTGAAGGCTGTTAGGAGCTATCTGGTCTAGCCCAGCACTCAGGGCTACACTTTCCTCTCCCACATTCCTAACATTTTGCCACCCAGCGTGTAACTGAACACCTCCAGTAACTACTACTGTTTTGGCTGGTTAGCTCTGGCTGCTAGACCACTCTTTTTTAGTAACCTCACACCTACCTTTTCGCCCACTGAACCTAATTCTGCCCTTTGGAATAACACCAAAGCGATATACAATCCCCTTCTGCAGTATGCCCTTCTGTTATCTAAAGCGAGCCATGTGTCTACGTGTGGTGATTCTCCAAGTGAGTCATCCATGCTCCTTCAAGTGCCTGCCAATTGTAGGGCCCAACTTCCAGAGGGCGACCTTTGACGCTTCTGAGTTTGCTGGTGTTTTATAATAGAGTCTGACAAACCAAAGAACTAAGACTATGATTAAACCAGCTCAGATTGTGTTCACTCTCTTGTAACCATATCACACCACATGTGATCACAGCTGTTCCTCACAAATGGCCCCTACGCTAGGGCTTTCTCATTCTGAATGTGTACAATGCGTTGGTACTAAAAAGTCTTTTGTGGTTTAGAAGGGTAGCATTTGAATGCTACGAGGGATCAAAAAGAAGGAAATAGGAAAGCAGATCTGAAGATTAAAGCAGTAAACATTCATTAATTCCAATTTTACTAAGTCAGCACCTGGATATTCCATTGCATTATCATTTTTTAAAGTTTTGCTACTTTAATAAAAATGAGAGTATATAAGATTGTAGGGAAGAATCATAAATTCTTTAAGATAATCCACTTTTGATGCATCTGCTTACAAAGTAATAAAAATAGATCATGTGCATTAAGTAAATCTAACCATTATTTAATATCAATAATGAGAATCCTTTGCTGACACATTAATTAAAGCAAAATATTTTTTATTTCTTTTAAAATATATTTTAGAATTTAGAAACATTTAAGAGTTATTTCAGATTGCTTTTTTACCAATCACTCCAAATTACAAAGATTATATTATGGAGCAAATTATCTGATTCCTAGGTTCTCATGAACATTTTTGGAATGTATAAAGAGGGGCACATCATTAGTTTTTGATGTAGTGTTCAATGATTCATTAGTTACGTACAACAGCCAGTGCTCATCACAACAGGTGCCCTCCTTAATACCCATCACCCTGTTACCCCCTCCCCTCTGAAACCCTCAGTTTATTTCCTGGGGTCCATAGTCTCTCATGGTTCATCTCCCTCTCTCCTTTCTCTCCCTTCAGATTTCCCTCCCTTCCCCTATGGTCCTCCGTGCTATTACTTAAGCTCCATATATGAGTGAAACCATATGATAATTGTCTTTCTCTGCTTGACTTATTTGAATTAGCATAAACCCCTCCAGTTCCATCTATGTCGATGCAAATGATAGGTATTCATCCTTTCTGGCGGACTCTACATCAAAAACTAATGATGTACTATACAGTGGCTAACTGAATATAATATAAATCAATCAATCAATCAATCAATATCTGGTAGAATTTAAAAAAATAGAGAGGGACACAGTGTACTGAAATAGATCCTCCTATACCACATAAAAACATCTCATTATATTAAGACTCTGTCTTCTATAATGGCTTCAAAAGGACTCAATTATCTCTGCATACCAATTAATTCACAGGTATGAGACTGAAAGGGAGCTACGCCTAACAGTGGAGACTGATATCCAAGGCCTGAATAAGGTCTTGGGTGATCTATCCATAACTAGAACAGACTTGGAGATTCAACTTAAAGAACTGAGTAAAGACCTGGATATCCTCAAAAAAGAACATCAGGAGGTGAGGAAATATTCAGAAGTGGTGTTGGGAATGACAGAATGACTCTAATAATGATAATGGGGGGGCGGAGGCTGGTAAAGAAAATGACAATAATAATGGTGTGAGCAGTCAGGGTTCAATGACAGAGCAGTACCTAGACTAGAATAAGCCCTACCTAAGTTACTGTCTTTCTTTTTTACTCATCCCCACTGAAAAAAGCTATTAAGACCTATGTCTTTTCTGCCTAGCCTCATGTGAGAACGTGCTTCAGACTATAATCAGGATTTTCACTCTTATAGGAAGTGGACAGCCTATACAGACACCTGGGCAATACTGTCAGTGTAGAATTGGATGCTGCTCCAGGTCTGAATCTTGGCACCACCATGAATGAAATGAGGCAGAAGTATGAAGTAATAGCCCAGGAGAACCTTCAGAAGGCCAAAGAACAGTTTGAGAAACAGGTAATAACATAATTCTGAAGGGCAAGCAAAGGTGTAGAAGCTGTCCTTCAAAAAAAGATAACTCATTTTCTTTCCTCTTTCTCCTTACTCATTTATTTTTTTCATTTTTGGAACTTTAGACTCAAACTCTGCAGCAACAAGTCACAGTGAGCAATGAAGAGTTAAAAGAAAATGAGGCTCGAATAAAGGAGCTGAGACGCACCTACCAGAACCTGGAGATAGAACTCCAGTCCCTCCTCAGTCTGGTAAAACACGTCTAACTTCCTACTCTCAACGCAGTGTGTGTTTACTAAGTGCCTGTGTGAGGAATTCTGGAAATACAGAAACCTCCAGGAAATAACCCCTCATCCCTGCAGAGCTGGCAGGGAGACAGGCCAAGCCACTGACTATAATTAAAATACAGAAAGAAATCCAGGACAAGAGCAATGTGCTGTAAGGATGCAGAGGAACAAGTAGATCTGGAAGACTTCACACAGAAAGTGGCATTTCAGCTAGATCAGAAAACTCGAGATGAATTTGTAGTTGGGAGAATAGGGGTAAACAAATCAGTCTGCAGGCTAAACAAATCAGTCAGCTCCTGACAAAACTATGCTGTGTTAACAACCCCCCAATTGCAATGGCTTACAAGAACACTACAACACTACATCCATCATCCATCCATCGGCTGCAGCTCTGCTCCATGACATTCCACTCCAGGGGTAAGGCTAAGGGAGGAGACCCTGGCCAGGGCATGCCAGTGTTGTAGCAGAAAGAAAAGAGCAGTAGCCAGACCATCTGACAGTTCCTAAAGCTTCTCAGAAAAGGTACTTGTCAGTTTTACCTACCTTTCATTAGCCAAGAAAGTCACATGACCAAATCTGGTATCAATGGGATGAGGAAATCTAATCCTCCCCTTGAAGGGGCACCACAAATCACAGGGAGAGGAGGTAAATACGGAGAACTAGAATACAATATACCACAGTAAGAGAACAATGAGTGTGAAGCTAAAAACAAACAAAAGACCCTTAGAGGTCATAGCAGCTGGCTGGGGCTCAGGAGCTAGTGGTCCTAGTAGCTGGCTGAGGTCGCCTAGATGGAAAGAGTGGGAGATAAAGCTAGAAATATGAATTATGCCCACAGTGACTAGCTGTGGGAATTCTCCTCAAAAGAAATTAAAATTGAACCACCTCTTAAGTCTTCAACTAAGAAACATCCACTTTTTCTTGTGCTTATAGAAAGAAACTTTGGAGCGTACACTAGAGGACACCAAAGATCGTTACAGTGGCAAATTGGTCACCATCCAGGCAGTACTGGACAACCTAGAAGGCCAACTGACACAGATTAGGACGGAAACAGAACGCCAGAGCAACGAATACAATATCCTCCTTGACATAAAAACCCTGCTTGAGCAGGAAATTGCTACTTACCGCCACCTTCTGGAAGGAGATGACGTCAAGTAAGGCTCTTAGAATCAAGGAATATGTGCCAGTGTCTACATGCTGTGCATTAAACCCTGTCACTCATTCCCCAGCACCAATGCAATTCCTAGCACAAAAGCAATTACACACACCAACCACCACCAACAAAACAAAAATATACCAAAAGTACGCCCATCTCCAAAATACCAGGTACAGCCTTTGTACTTGAGGTCATGTGTAGGGCTGACTTAGAAGATGGTTATACAGTAAATGATACAGATTATGCTTTTGCTAATTTTTATGATTAATACATAATTGGAAGTACAATAACTTTTAGAAATTCTCCTTGAGAGGTCATGAAATGAACAGGCCACAGAGGTCTGTGGGAACCAGTTTGAGAATCATCACTATTGCCGCAGAAACTGTCTTCAACTACTACACCCAAGAAACTCAGTAAGAGAACACAAGATTTAAACTTCCACTGTAATTTTGTTACTTTAATTACAAAAGCTTATAGTACAGAGGAAATAGGTCAGTTCTGAAGATATCGATAGATAGATGATAGATATAAAATAATATGTCAAGTTGAAAAGTAAGAAACTCAAGTTCAAAGTAACAAGCATGGTAAAAGCAGAAAAAATACAAACACAGCATTAATACACACATCACACAGACTTTATTTTGAAACAGAAAATGCAGGACAGCCCTTCATTTTCAACATGGCAATAACACCTTTTCCTGTTTCTTTTTCTTTTCTTAAAAAAAAAAAAAAACAGAATTCCAGAACATGCGATAAGCATCCCAGAGCAGAAAGGTAAGTGTTCTAATTTCACATGTTTCCTGTGAGACTGACTCCTCACTCAGTAACTTACCACTTATTAAATGCCACTGTTGAAAAGTAAATAGAGATCAGTTCTCAAGGGAGCAGATACTACCCTAGGGGTTCTGAAAATCAGGCGCATTACATAAAGAAACGCCCAACATGGAAAGTTTGTCATACTCCCACAACAGGGTGATTTTCTTGGCCCAAGCTATTGCTGTCCTGAGACATCACGGGATCCTGAAAAGAAAAAAAATAAGATGAAAAAGTGCATTTGGCTTAATTCAATATTGTATATTTCTCTTTGGGGGTGGGCATAGAAAATTTGTGAATTTGGGGACAGTGGCATATTTTCTGCATTTGTTTATAAATTGGACAAGATTATTTAAGAAAAAGAATGGGTTTCTTTTTCTTTTAGGAAAAATATGTATAAAATAATAATGATTTAGAGTTGAATGTTATAGACCAGGAGAGTCATGTTCCTGAGTTAATATTTCATACTTAAATCTAAACTCAGATATAAAGAGAAAAAGGAAGATTATGACAGTCGTGAAAGAAGTGGTAGACGGCAAGGTTGTGTCAAGTAAAACCGAAGAGATGGAAGAAGATTTGTAAACAGCTACCTGGAGATGCTGCTGAGGGTTTGAAAGAAATGTAGCTATAATTTTTGCTCCCTATAAGAAAGCAGCCATCAGACAGCACCATTAGTGCTTTGTGGTAATCAGAAGGGGACAAAAGCCCATTTATCAGTCTCTGTAATTGAATATAAATTGTTTAACTCAGAGGAGCTGCAAATCACCTACAAAAATGAAATCCAACGAGCACTAGGACATTTAAAATATCATTACCACCATCTCTTTACGATGAAACACATTAATTATAAGTTAGAGACCACCTAATACCAATTCGTTAATGTTCCTGAAAATTACAGCACATTTGAATTACACTAAATCTCACAAAGCAGAAAAATCCCTGAAAATTGCAAATAAACTGCTCTCTCTAATTTTTCCTATTTCTGAATTGCAAAATCTCCTTTCAGGGGCCCTTGGATTCTTAAATGAGCCAATTTCTTGGTTAATTTCATTGGATTTTTGATATTGGTACAATCCTGCTAGCTTTAAGTTATATCTGCATTTTTTCCATTGTCTCCGCTGTCTTTTAAAACTCAGCTCAGCTCTTCGAATAATTTGAGTCAGGCTCCAAACACAAATGCTGAGCAGAATAAGAATGAAGCACATTATGCTTGAAGTGGGAGTAGATGAAATGTAAAATTAGTGAAACCCTTCTCAAGGCAGAATGCCTCTCCTTATGACAATAAACTGCATAAATCATCAGGTGTTCTCTTTCTTTATGGGGTAAACGTGTTATGAAATGTTTCTCACCTTTTTTTAAAACAACTTTAATGAGATATAATTCACACACCGTAAAATTCATCCTTGTAAAGTGCAAAATTCAGTGGTCTTCAACATATGCACAGGATTGGGCAACCATCACACTGCCTAGTTTTAGAATGTTTTCATCACTGAGAAAAGAAACCCAGCAGGAGTCATCCCTCCATTTCCCTTCCCCCCCAGCCCTGGCTACCACTAATCCACTTCCTCTATGAATTTGCCTACTCCAGACATTTCCTACAAATGGAATCATACAATGTGTTCTTTTGTGCAGAAATGTTCATAGCAGCATTATTCATAATAGCCCCAAAGCGGAAACAACTCAAACGTCCATCAACTGATCAAAGGATAAACAAAATGGAGTATGTCCATACAATAGAATATTATCTGGCAATAGAAAGAACAAGGTACTGATACATAATGCAACAGGGATGAACCTTGAAAACACTATGCTTATTGAGGGAAGTCAGACACAAAAAGACACAGACTATATTCTCACCCATTAACTGCCTTGCAAATGTTTACAAGAAAAAATCATTTTGCCCTCTCTCATTGTATTCTAGTAAATCAATAGCTTGGATTTAAATTTTGATATATAAGTTTGTAAGTAAATAGGATTTTGAGTGTGATTATATTGAAAATAATAATGTGATTCGCTTAAGGATAATAATACCCACCATCTATTGAGCACTTACTATGAGCTAAGCAGTGTGCCAGGCATTTTATATGCATTTCTCATTTAATCCTCACAATAACCCCATGAAGTAGAAGCTATTAGGTTGAATCATATGAACTTGCCAATAGGTAATCATTTTTTACCTTTAAAAAAATAGCAATTTCATCTGGTTTGATCTTATTCTATTCTCCCCGTTTTACAAATGAGGATTATATATGAAGACATGAAATAGGTACTCTCCCAAAGTCACAGTTACCAAGTAATGGAGCAGGACAGAACCTTAGGACTGTTTGTCTGAAGTCACGACACTCTTTTAAGCAATAAATTACATGACAAAGAATTGCAGAGTCACACCTGAAATGAGCATTTGCCTGTTACTTGTTTTGCTCTTTTCTGCCATTTTAACTAGCCAGACACTTAGAACAGCCAAATGTCACAAATGTGGACCAGCCAGCATCCCACATGACTGGATTTACCACAACTTTTGTTAGAAAAAAATATTATCTTCACCTATTCTCATTCCTTTCCTCAAAGTAAAGAGGTTCACTTTCATTTTTTTCTTAATTTCCTTCCAAGTCACTCGGGTTAGTAAATTGCTTTTAAAGATGTTAAGAACTTTTAGAAGTAAATTATTTTTCTCCTACTAAAATACATTCCAGAACAGTATGTAACTTCAACATGCAAATGCCAAAGACTGAGTCTGATTAGTAAAAAACTTGCAGGAGGTGGGTTTGAAATTCACTAGGCATGGCCATAGTCAGTATGACAATTGTTGCCTTTTGCCATAGACAATAATGACACTTTGTTCAAAAGTAGGTTATTTTTTTTTTATTTTTTTTATTGTTATGTTAATCACCATATATTACATTATTAGTTTTTGGTGCAGTGTTCCATGATTCATTGTTTGTTCATAACACCCAGTGCTCCATGCAGAACGTGCCCTCCTCAATAAAAGTAGGTTATTTTTAACCGAATTTCCTATCATAAAAAATGAAAACTAATCCTTGCCTTTTGGTCAATCTCTAGTTTCTTCCAAGCAATCTTTCAAAGAAAGTAGGAGAGAACATATATACATGTGGAACCAGATGTATTTATGTATATACCACCGGTGCTACCAGTAGTGACTGTGTGAAAGTAAAGTGTTAATCTCCGTATCTATATTTCTTATACGAGCTAAGAAACAGAACAGCATGATCCTATTTCTGGCAGGCATACAGATCCAGAGAAGATTCATAGTCCTTAAGTATAGGTCTCTTTATCACACATAGAATCATTATCAATAAATTTCATGACCTTATACAAAATCATCAGTGTCCAAGTGGACCCATCAAACTCAGAGAGAAACCCTAGAGGTTATGCTAGGTTGGAGAGAACTACTTTTTCTGGCCTTGGGGAATTACATCTACACAGAGCTTTATAACATCTAAAAAGAATGCTATGGAATGATATAAAATCAAAACTTGACCAGTGGACACCCTCTGCTCTCACCCTCACTAACTTGGGGGCAGTCTCAAATAACAATTCCAACTTAAAGCACTGGCTAGTGATTTCTATTTTTTTTAATTTCCCTTCAAACATTTGTCTTCTCTCCCCTAGACTCACTTCTAAGACTTGCCTTCCCAGGCAAGGAAAGATTCCAAGATTCCTTCTCCTCTCTCTCACCATAGGCAACCCTCCCTGCCTTTGAGAACACTGAGCTCTGGAGTCCAGAACTCATCCTCAAGCATGACCACCAAGGTCTTTTTTTCATCCTCATTTCAAAATCACAACATACAATGTCAGTAGCCCAATATTCTTTTAGTCACTCACAGGATCTTCAAATGTTATTCAAAGCAAAAGTGAGGGCGCCTGGGTGGCTCAGTCGTTAAGCGTCTGCCTTCGGCTCAGGTCATGATCCCAGGGTCCTGGGATCGAGTCCCACATCGGGCTCCCTGCTCCGCGGGAAGCCTGCTTCTCCCTCTCCCACTCCCCCTGCTTGTGTTCCCTCTCTAGCTGTGTCTCTCTCTGTCAAATAAATAAATAAAATCTTTAAAAAAAAAAAAAGCAAAAGTGAAAGGTGTTAGGGACCCAGTGATCAGTGAATTGCAGGAAGTGGAAGGTCTGTCTTTAATGGAAAGAACTCAGGTGGAAAACCCTGCAATCAAAGAGCAGGAAACTAACCAATGTGACATGAGAAGATGGGCATAAGTTTTACTTAATAAATCAAAAGACTTACAAATACCACATAAATAACTGTCTCTATCTTGAGTATTCCCTAAACTCTACAGAAAAGGAAGTCATGACTCTTTTGAGCAGTTCCCCCTTTCTCATCATTTTCCTCTGTGCCTCAACTTATATAATCACTTTGCCACCAAAGCCCAAGATTGTTTCTGTTTTCTATATTCCCACCCTCCTATATTTTCATAGCTGTCAGAGAAAATTATTTTTACTTCTAAAACCTCTAAAGTACACGCTTTATTATTTAACTTAGCCCTCCCTCCCAAAAAACAGCCACTGAAGAAGAAATAACTCTCTTTTCAACTTCTGAAGTTCCTCCCCATTCATAATTGGATTCAGAATAAATCTTGGTCAAAGCATACCAGCAAATTAGAGCAAAGTCACTCTCAGATGAAATGAATTTTAAGTGACATATTCAAACAAGGATTAAGTTCTTTCAAGTGAAATAACTCCAGAAGTGCAAGGATGAAGCCTAGGCAAACACTAGGCTAAGACTAAGGATAAAAAATTAGACATAGTCCCTAGCTGAGAAACATGCAGTCTAGGAAAATAAATAATATATATAGAAACACGAAGGTATAATATGTAAACATAATGTATAGGCACTGAGCAAAATTATTTAAAATTTACATATAGGCATTAGAGATGGAAAGTATACATTTCAGCACAAAATTCAGCATGGTTCCAAATTCAAGAATTCAAGTTAATCATATTCCCATATTAGGTGATCATATCACTAAGCTACAAGTCTGCATTTGGCACATCCCCTCAAGTCTGTAAGCAATGAATAGCCTGTTTCATTTCTATGGCAATAATAATGGAATCACCCTTGAAGGCAGGGGAAGGGGGGAAATGCCGCTTATAACTAATTATTAATGACCATAATGTCAAATTCCTGTGTAGGAAGTGCAAGTTGAACTAGTACTTTACATGATCTCTGACATTGTGGTTACATGTCAAAAGTATAACTAAAACTACATTTGTAGGGTGCTAAATGAGAAGAACATGCAGCCAAGAATGCTTTATCTGGCAAGGCTGTCACTTAGAATGGATGGAGAGATGCAGAGCTTCCAAGACCGGCAGAAACTAAAAGAATATGTGACCACTAAGCCGGTCCTGCAAGAAGTATTAAGGGGGGTTCTATAAAAGGAGAAAGACCCCAAGAGTGCTAGAGAACAGAAATTTACAGAGACAATCTATAGAAACAAGGACTTCACAGGCAACATGATGATAATAAATTCATATCTTTCAATAATCACCTCAACGTGAATGGCCTAAATGCTCCCATAAAATGGCAGAGGGTTGCAGATTGGATAAAAAGACAGGACCCATCCAGATGCTGTCTACAAGAGACTCATTTTGAACCTAAAGATACATCCAGACTGAAAGTGAAGGGATGGAGATCCATCTTTCATGCCAACGGACCTCGAAAGAAAGCTGGGGTAGCAATTCTTATCTCAGACAAATTAGATTGTAAGCTAAAGACTGTAGTTAGAGACACAGAAGGACACTGTATTGTTCTTAAAGGGTCTATCCAACAAGAAGATCTAACAACTGTAAATATCGATGCCCCCAATATGGGAGCAGCCAACTACATAAGCCAACTGTTAACCAAAATAAAGAGTCATATTGATAACAATATGTTAATTGTAGGAGACCTCAATACTCCACTCTCAGCAATAGACAGATCATCTAAGCAGAAAATCAACAAAGAAACAAGAGCTTTGAATGACACACTGGACCAGACGGACCTCAGAGATATACACAGAACATTCCACCCTAAAATAACAGAATATTCATTCTTCTTGAGTGCACATGGAACTTTCTCCAGAATAGACCACATACTGGGTCACAAATCAGGTCTCAACCGATACCAAAAGATTGAGATTATTCCCTGCATATTCTCAGACCATTATGCTTTAAAACTAGAACTCAATCACAAGAAAAAAATTTGGAAGAAATTCAAACACTTAGAAGCTAAAGACCACTCTG